CTAGAAACATGTTCATAGACACTCCCAGAAGTAAAGTTTAGCCAAGTGTCTAGGCACCCCATGGCCCAGTCAAGTCGGCACACAAAATTAACAATTACATATACCTTTCTCTGATTTCTTTTTTCCTTTTCTTCCCTTCATTGCCTGACATTATCCTCTGGGCAATGTAAACCTGCCATTTACCAGGTATTTGACCTTGATCCTCCATGAGAAAGATCCCTGGATCAGCCTAAACTTGAGTGTCCTTGTCTATATACGGGAATAACAATACCCCAGTGTCTTCCCAAGGGCTATGGAGGGTCTAAATGGGATAGTTTATGGAAAGCACTTGCCACAAAACCCCAAACCTGGTAAGTGGGAGCTTGCTTATTACTGTGAAGGAATCTGCTTGTAACCACACATTGAGTTTCACTTAGTAAAGATCTCTCTTTTTTTTAATAAATTTATTTTTATTGGTGTTCAATTTGCCAACATATAGAATAACACCCAGTGCTCATCCCATCAAGTGCCCCCTTCAGTGCCTGTCACCCAGTCACCCCCACCTGCCGCCCACCTCCCTTTCTACCACCCCTTGTTCATTTCCCAGAGTTAGGAGTCTCTCATGAAAGATCTCTTTAGATTTGATTTTTTGCAAGTTTGCCTCATCTAGAGCTTTAGCAGTTGATGGGCAGAGGTCAGCCGGGAAGGTGTCAGCCAAAAGGCTGAGGCTCAGTGTCAACACCACACCATGGAAAGCAGAGCTCAGGAACAGAAGGCTCAGCAGCTGGACAATGTCTGCAGGACTTGATGTGGGTCTTTGTTATCCCACGGAGAGGCATCTTGCACCTGTACGGCTGGATCTACCATAGTTTGTGCTCCAGGAGAGAGATCCTGCCAGCTGCCTCACTTTTTTGTAGGGCAAGCAGGAGAATAGATTTGTTAGCTGGGGAGGAACAGACTGAACTGGAGTGTCAGCTGCTCAGGAAAGCTTCATACCCCAGAAGGGGGGTTGTTGGAAGTGGGCACAGCACTCATGAAAAGGAGGAGGTGGGGTCCACACAGTCAATCCCAGGAAGCTCAGAGTTGCTGTCAGGCCACCCAGAAAATATTCTTGCCTGCATGGACAGAAAGTAAAGCAATAATTTCCCATTGACAGTGAAACCCACCTCTACTTTAACACGTGAGTTCACATGAATATTAGCAGAGAGAAATGAGTCCAGAGGGGAGGGGCAGAGAGCAGCCACCTGGACCTTTCCTTTTTGCTGTTATTGTCTGATGGGTGAAAAAGAGTTGAGAATGTTGATTGTAGAATTCAGAGTTTGTGTCAAATTGCTGTATTCTGGGTCTTACTCTATGTGGAAAATGAAATCTAATTGTTTTCAGATTTTCTTTCCCTAAAGTATTGCTCCTTCCTGGGAATGCTCAAAAAAGAATGAGGCTAAAGTGTTTGGAGTGGGGATTTTGTAGCAGACATCCTTATTTGGTTTTTAATGTTTCTGCATTAGAAATAAATTGCCAGGAGAAATAAAATGAGATGAGCATCCCAAAATTCATGTGTGTGAGTTGAAATCTTAATTCTTGAATTTCTTTCCTTGGGTTTTCTACACACAAAGTCACCTACCCATTCATCCCTCCCTGCTTCTGTGGAAGTCTCTGTAAATGTTTGTAAGAACAAAATTCTCTTCACTCTTACATAAAAGAGAATCCAGTGGAATTTCAGCTTCAAGACAAGTTTTGGTTGATGGGAGGGGAATCTGATCTCTCATCAAGATTCTTTCAGTACCTCGGAGAGTGACAGAGCTCTCTTCCCAGGATCCTGGCCCAAACCACAGGCTTCAGCTCACAGCGTAATTATTTCCCAGGGTAGAATTGTGAAACAGGCAGGGAAGGAAGGGAATCTGAGTTCCTGGATGTCAATCACAGAAGGAATTATTGCTGCTATTATCGAGATCTACTAGGTATGCATTTTATTTCCCATGCTTACAAATTAACGAAGGCTAAAAGATATATTTGATAATGTCATTTCTCTGCTCAAAACTCTTGAGTGGCTTCCCATGTCATTCAGAGGAAAAGCAAAAGTTCTGACAAGACCCTGCATAAATCCCCTACTTGTCTGGTTCCAGCCTTTCCATCCTTTCCTTGATCGCTCCACTGTAGAAATTTTGAGATTCTTACTACTCATTCTCAGCAACACCTTCCCTGACAACTGTATCTGAAATCACACTGACACCCCTACCCCTCCATCTTCCTTCTCCCTGTTCCTGCTGTTTGTCCTTATCACTTATCACCATCTAACAAAACTATCATCTTCTTTTCCCCAACTCCCCTCCCACTTCAATAGAAGATCCTCAAGAGCAGGAATTTGGTTTGTTTTCTTAATGATTACATTCCCATTGCCTAGAACACTCTCCCTGAAATGTACTAGGTACTCAATAAATATTTGTCAAGTGAATGAATCTATAAATGATTAAGCAAATAAACAATACTAAAAGGACAGTGGTACCAGCCTTATTTCACAGATGTTGAAACTTGGGCTCAGAAAGATTCGGGCAAGGTTGTGCAACTGAGTAATGCTGGCACTGGGACCCAAGCAGCTCCATGTGGCATCCTGCCTGCCCAGTCCTGCTTCATGTACACCTTCTCCACATCAGCATCCTCCCCCCAGGTGCCCATGAACCTCAAGAGTTGTTTTCCTTCACCTTCAAAAAAATCTCTCCAAGTGAAAAATGAAACTTAAACAGGTTAAGGTGCAGTTGACCAAAACTAACTAACAATGTTACTCATCCCTTCGGATATGTGCCTTCTGAGGGCTTCCAAAGCCTTGCCTGAGGCAGCTGGCTCTAACGGTGAGATTCAGACCTCCCTCAACACCTCCAGGTGACAAGGGAAAGAGCAAAGGGTCATTAACATCTTGTGACCAGCTCATCTGCACTTTTCATCTTTTAAGGCCATTCTCCATGCAGCCTTGGGAGCATACTGCCTGAGCAGAAACTGGTGTCCGGGATTGCATACAGTCCCCTGGCCACCTGGTTTCTACACTGGTTTGGGATTCGCTTCCTCAAGGTTGACATGATGAGCCTTTGGTCACTTCTCTAATGACACAGTCCAAACAGGACTTGGAAGTACTTTTCATCTTTACACTTATTCCTAAAACCCTAGCAAGAGGTACAATTCTGCATCAGAAAGTAAACTTCCCCACTGCCAGCTTTTACTCTGCTATGGTTTTTAGAGTGCCACTACTTTTTCATAGGCCTTTTCCCCCCTGAGGTTAGAATGATATTTTAGATCCAGAAATGGGAAAAGAATTTTTCCAATTATGTATTTAGTGTTTTATTACTCCAACCAATTCATATAAATGCAAATAGAAAATCAGGAAGATTCCTTTGCAACAATAAACTCTTCCCTACACAAGATGCCCAATCAACACCACACTTAACATGAGCACATTAATGCAGTAACTATTTTTCAACTTTGCAGGAGTGAATAACACCTATTGGGCTAGCTAATTAGCCTCCCTGCCTATAATGCCAGGCAGATTTAAAAAAAAAAAAAACTAGATTCCTTGACAGTCTACTGCTCAATTTTCCAGTTTATTGGAAGCACTTTCTATCTCACCTATTAGGCCTCATGGTACTACAGAGCCTTTGAGCAGACAGGACTTTACTAACAGATAAACTCCTTCACTGCATTTCCAGATACTCTGAAAGAAGTTCAGTCATAGAAGGTAGGGAGGGTGGAGCTACCACTGACCAGCTGTTTAGATTTCTAAAATTGTCCCCAGAGGAACAAAGGTCAGGATCATGGGAATAGAAAGCAAAAGGACACGAGGGTCTCTAGTCCATTTTAAAGTGCATGAGGACTTTTTCACCTCATCTGTGCCTATACACATAGATTGAAGTGGAAAACACAATGATTTTCTCAGTCAGAACACCCTTTAGTGTGTGCAACACACACATGCAGAATCAGACATGCATGTACACATTTATTAAAGTTAGGCCTTTGAAGAAATAACACATCAACCAATGTATTATCCTTTTAAAAGAAGTAATGTCAGGAGGCACCTAGGTGGCTCAGTTAGTTAAGCATCCAACTCTTGATCTCAGCTCAGGTCTTGATCTCAGGGTCATGGGTTCAAGCCACACTGGGCATGGAGCCTACTTAAAAAAGAAGAGGAAGAAGAAGAAGGAGGAGGAGGGGAAGGAGGAGGAGGAGGAAGAAGAGGAGGAGGAGAAATGTCAGAAGTTTCAGTGGAAGGAGAGTCCAGGTCTTTCCTGGAGAGGGAAGGAGTGGTGTGTTCATCAGCACAGTTTGGGGGAACTGGCTCACAAAGGACTCTCCCACCCCACAGGGCAACCAACAGTCTCTCTGTTGCAATTATTGTTACTAGCAGTGCTTCTATGTTTTAAGGTAAAAGGAAATAACAAACTTCCAAGGCAAAACAAAAATCCATGTCCAAGTATATTTGTTGGAAGGAACAGCAAGCGTTACTCCCAGAGGGTGCAGGTGATGTTTGTTTCTGGTATCAATCAATTGATTAAGGAAAATACGGTGGTAGCATGAACCTTAACTTTGGTTAATCTCACAAGACTCTCTTTGAAATTAAAAAAGCACATACGAAAAGAATTGGCCCTGCTGAGTCATCTCAGAAAGTCATATTTAAAAGAAAAAGAAATCAGAATTATGATATTACGGTATTACAGTCAGGAAAGTAATCATACCATTGTCATTACAGTAAAAATGCTCATACTTTCTAGCCAATTTAAGATCAAAGCAAATGTGTCCATCCTTAGCCAGGGAAGTTGCTAACTGATCACATAAATAGTTTATTCTCTTGCAAGGGAAGTTTGAGGCAGGTTTACATTTTTTTAAACTCAATTTACTCCGTACTAGCTCAGAGAGAAATGATATTTAAGAATTGAGAGCACACCAATACTTAATGATAAAGATATAACTGACTTTTAGCACATTAGTCACACTCTACAAAGTTTGAGATTAATTCCCAGAGTCCTTTGCACACTTATTCATGATTTTGCTCTTCGAAAGGAAGTTTTTTTCATCCCTGTGCCAACTCCATTGCGAAAGGACCTTTTCATAAACGTCTTCTTGAAAATTGGCTTTAGAAAATCTAGTCCCTCGCTTCTGTCCATCCTGGTTGGGCAGGTGTTCAGCAGGATGAGAAAATAATCAGATTTTCCAGACACCTGGCAATTCAGATGGGGGACGAGGGAGAGAATACAACTTTAGGGTTAAAAACTTATTTCAACAGTAACAATTTTCAAAACCTTAAGGCTATAAATTCAATGTCTCCAAACTTTCAAGGGGGAAATTTTACGAGAACACAACATATGCTTTATCTAAATACAAAATATTATTCGGAGCCATCTACTCTCCTGTCTAATTTTTATGCTACTTATGTAAATGCTATTATTTGGGATTTGCATCGTACCCATACATAGTTATCTTGTTGCTATTACTTTATAAAGAATCTTTCAAGTGGCACTAATTAGTCCTGGGAAGTTTTTAAAAATTTACTAAGAAAAAACAACCCATGATAACCAAGCTTCAGGTTTCAGTTGGAAACAATTTTTCTTCTGGGATTTGTCGTGGGCCATTTACCAAGATTCTCCACAAAGCTATCTTGCTTCTTGAACAATAGCATCTTCATCTTTTGACTTTGGTTCAGTTCCTCATCAGTGGTTTAAAGGCCCAGATAGTGGAGGGGGTACTTAGTCTTGAAAGAAGCACATGTCTGGAATCTTAAGAGCTCAATCTGGCCATCTAGAATGTGCAGTTCAACCCCGTACTTTCCAGATGAAGAAACCAAGTAAAGAGCAGAGGGGCATGTCCCAAGAAATGGGCCTGACACAGATATCAAGTAAGAATTTTCAACACTTGTCCTATGTCCCCTCCTCTGTGGTTTCAGAGGAAGTACAATGCTGATGAGTTACAATTCCAAGTTTCATCAATAAATGGACCAAAGATTTATCAATGATCTTTGTGGTAAATCCTTAATGTGCATCATCTCATTTTATCCTCTCAGAAAGCTCTATGGATGAAGTGATATTATCATTTCCTCAGTTTTAAATTGAGAAATTAAATGGCTTGTAGATGAAGAAGGGATTTGAGTGGAAGCACCTGACTCCAATCCATTTCTCAACACATGAGAGCAGTAAGAGGAAAAGGAGGCTGGCAGGTCTTAATTGTAAAGAAACATATTACAAAGTAAAAAAAAAAATTACACATTTTCCTTTCCTGGGGCAGGAACACAGGCGTGGTTTCAGGTTACTTTGGAAGTTGAAAGGGGGACAGAATGAAAAAAAATGTTCTCTAGGATGCTTCACCCATGCCTGGGTAGGTTACTGAAGGTTCCAGTAGTCAGAGCACCCAGGTAAATCATTCCCGCTGGCCTCTGGGAAAATCATGAGCATTTTTTTTTTTTTTTGGACCTGGGAACAGTCAGAGGGAATTTCAGAAATATTGGTCATGGGAAACCAATCAAAACTCTTATTTGAATGCCCACAATGTCTTTTTCCTTGTGTTAATGGAGGAAATCTAAGCATAATATAATGCCATCTATTTTAAATCCCCAGCAAGGAGGGCCTATGAGTCATTTCAGGAAGGGAAGCATTCCAGTTCTTTCCAGAAATACTCGTGAGGCCACCATTGTATTGCAAAAGAAATGCATCATTTCTGATTATAAGATCCTGGAAACATCCCTAAAAAGATACCGATGTACTTCGCTGATCATTGAAGGGAGTCCTTGCCAGAGCTGACTTGTAAACAGTATATTTGCCTAATTGATGTACTTTACGAAGTTAACAACAAATACTACAAGAGCCTATACATCGTTTGTCTGTGTAATTACTCACCTTAAACAGTCAAATTGATACCTTTGCTACATGATGGAGTTATAATGAGAATGAAATTGTCACATGCAAAAATAGAAATATGGAAAATGCATGGAAAGAAGAAACATCTCATTTATGGGTAAGCCGATTTGTAAGTACATTAGAAGAAAGTACATTCTTAATTAAAAAAAAAAAGAAGAAGAAGAAGAAGCCGCATACAAATGCCTCTCTTTCAACAGAAATGTCATGAATAAACCTTCGGGAAAAGAACAGAAAGTAATTAGGAAGACACTTGAGAAAATATACCAATTTATGGGTTGTGACTCATCAATTTGATCAATATGGTTGATGTCTTATAGAATCAATGACTCAATTAGTGTTGAATGCTCATAGGACTAAATCAGGAAAAAAGAAGCTAACTTAAGTAAACAAGAAAAAGAAAAATGACAGATGCAAAGATTAGTAAGAAGACCAATAATATAAACAGCTAGATCATTATGTTTGGACATATATCTATTATTTAGGATTTGTGTAGCATCTCATTATCCAAAAAATAGTTTCATGAATTACATTGATTCAGTAATTGCAGTATGCCAGGTTAAGTCTCAGTGAATACAAAATGTTATCAGGGACCACAAATATTTTAAAATATTTTAAACAAAGTATTGACATTAAAACACCTGAAATATCATATAAAAATAGCATAAAAAATTCCAAAGAAAGATGTTCATTTTCTGAATATTCTGAACAGTTCAATGATTAACATTAGAATCTCAATCAATATTCTTGAATAAACACAGGAATTAATATTTTATGTGATGTTTCATCAATATATGTCATTTTATCTATATTCTGTATCTGAAAAGTTAGCATTTTTAAAAAAATGGTAAATTCACTATTTTAAAAAATTGATCTATTGTATTTGTAATATGGTTTCAATGGTTTATGTTCACTTTGATCATGAATGCACATATGTGGAATAACTAAATTGTCATGGGCAAAACTATGCACATTTTACTTCAAAATGAATGCTTTTCCATGCAGGAGCCAACTTCTAAATATTTAAAAACAAATTTTAACAAGTCTAGCATTATTTTTGTCACATAAATGCTTCTCTTTACTAATTTTATGACTGCTTATATTTTTTTTCATTGAAAGCTCTAATAATAGGAGAAATTACTCTCTGTCACATATTTCTTGAGATTATTTTGAACATAAACACAAATAAGCCATCTAGTAAAACATCAAAAATACAGGCAAAACTCTTACCTTAGAAGGTGAAACTGGATAACACCAGATCACATGCATTGTAGGACTCAGCAGAAGTAGAATGAGGCTGAATTTTAATGAGCTATAGGGTAGGGGGAAAAAAACCCTAAGATTAGTTTCATTTAGGCAAGTATAAATAAAAAAAATATGTAAATTCAACAGTTTTCTTTGTGGAAAAAGATAGTCTTTTACCTAATCATTTTGGATTTTCCAAAATCTCTGCAGATCAGTGGTTTTCTTGCCAAATTCCTCACACTTACTGTCAGATCCTCCTTGGGTGACCCTTTTATACCAGGAAAGTTCAGAAGTAAAAATGTCATCACGTCTCATCATATGTGACTAATTGGCTCTTTTTTTGTTCTTGTTAAGTTGGAAAAGGACAAAAACACACAGGCATTGTCATTGAGCCATCAAGGATTGACTTCATTTAAAGTTTGCCATTAAAAATGTCCTTCAGAAACATTGTCTTCTAAACTGCGTCATTGTGACATAGACAGCTAGAGGTCTCAAAAGAAACCACAAGCTTGTCCCACTTAGGGTTTAACGCTTAAGAAGGATGACATTATTTTGAATGTCCTAGCATCATGTTTCAGAAACTAACACAAAATCCTTACAAGAAAAAAGAACATCTACCCTCACAATGGGCATGGATTGTTTTCCACAATGGATTTCCCTCCTTTAGGACTTCTGAGGTGAAAGCAGGGAAACAAATATCATGTCCCTTTGTCACTGGTCACTCCAATAAAAGAAGGGCACTACGTTTACCCCTTTCCTTGTGCATACCCAGAGTCCAGGCCCTGAGCTCTAGAAGAGCTGCCTACCATCGCCTCCTTTTTCTCTCCAGGGCATAGAATTTCTCTGGGAAGCCTTCACTGTCCTTGCAGACCAATGGGCATCCACATTAATAAATTGATTCAGAAGCGCTAAGTGTGAACAGATGTTGCTGAGGCTTACAATGGAGAAATACATCAAGGGAGGTGCTTTCTGCTTGGATAACTAGTGTTTCTGAGATGGAGCCAACATTTTTTGAATACAAAGCAACCAAGGGAAATCCTTGCTTCCTCAAGATCAGCACCTTTTGGAGGACAAACTGCCCTGTGTCTGGGACATTTGCTACCTATTTGTCAGTACTACGTCCCCTTCTTTAGGGAACTGATGCTCAGTATGATTCTCATGTAGTTGTTGATCATATATAGTGACCCCTTGCCTACCACAAGGAAAAGCAGGTGATCCAGATTCTCAAGAGAACAAAGATCACAGGGAATACTGCCAAGTTGAGGACCTGGGCATATAATCCAACAAATTTATCAGTCTTTTTGGGGGATATCACATGAAGGTTGGGAGATAAAGAGTTTTAAGAACACCAAAAACTGAACGTACACATTTCCTTTTGTTGTCTTTTTAAACCCAGCTAAAATAAACGCATAAGAACAAAAAGAATGGAAGAGAAGATGATCGCGAGTGTTTTGTTGAGAGATGAGCAATTGTCTAAGTAGATCTGAGAAAAATTCTTATCAAGATACTTTAGTAACAGATCCTCAACAGTCTTAAGTATTCATGGAACCAGTTGCTTTTGGATGTGATGAAGGTGCACTAGTAAGAAGAGATCAGCTAGAAGTTTGAGACTTAATTCAATCCCGCATCACCTCTCCACTTCCCATGTCTAGACAACTTCTGCTCCAGCAGAGGATTATAGATCTATTTTATGTAAATGGTAAAACAGAATGCTTCCTGACTGAGGGAATCAGGTCTAGTGGTGTTACAGGGTTACTTGTCTGAAACCAAAGGTTGAACAAGTACTATAATCAGTGCTGAGACCCATGTGGTCTCATCCTTGGCACAGCTCCCACACACTGTTAGGTCTTTACCCTCAGGACAAGTGAATGGAAGACCTTCTCTGGATAATCTTCCCAGCTCAAGATGAAAAACCTAGAGATACAGACATTAGGGTTCCCTCATAAAAGCAGTCCAGCCAAGTGAAATCCACTGAAGTCCAGGGCTGACAATGCCCACTAACACACACACTGAATTTATGGACATTTTAGCGCCTCACTCTTAATATAAACAGACAACTCAAAAATACAACTGAAATGAGTACAGGACATTTATAAAGGCAGAACTGATAAGAACAAAGAAAATTGGAGAGAAATCCATAGCAACAGTGTTTTATCCTGAAAGATAGAAACCAACAAACATGAAGGAAAAATACTTGAAGGAAATAGGAAAGAATGCAAGAGAAGAAAACTTAAAAAAAAAAACTCACTAATATTCTCCAGAGAAAAAAGGAAGATATTGTATCTGTAAAATAAGAAAAAAAAAAGCTATAGAAAGCAAATCATTTAGAGGACAAAAAAGGAGCTCATGAAAATTAAAACTATAAAAACTCAGTAGAAGGATTGAAAGATAGAGTTGCATAAATCTCCCAGACATTAAAGAAAAAAGACAAGGAGAAAAATTAAGATAATTAAAGAATAGTACCCCCCCCCAGTAGTTTCAACATATAAATAACAAGGATTCTAGAAAATAAAAGAGAAAAAAATGAGAGGACAGGGAATCATCAATAAAGAAATAGAAGAACATTTTCCATAACAGAATATACTGACTTTTGAGAAGGAAGGGACTCAAGTGTCTGGCACTATGGCTAAATTTGACCCATACTAAGATATATCATTATAAAATTTCAGCAAATTATCTCCTACAAGCCTCCAAATTGCCTACAAAGATTCAGACACCAGAAGCACTTTGGAATTCTCAAAAATAACACTGAGAGCTTGGAAAGAGAATAAAGCAATGCATTCAAAATTGCAAAGAAAAATGATCTCCAATCTAGAATTTATTCCCAACCAAACTATCCCTTAAGTGGACGACTATAATAAATATTTTCAGATATATAAGATCTCCAAATTATACTTCCCTCACACCCTTGGCCAGGAAGCACTTCAAGATATGCTCCACCAAAAATAAGCATATGCACCTCTAAGGAAGAAAATGTGAGAGATACATTAATGGGAGATCAATACAGGAAATAAGGAAGACAATTCCCAGGATGACAGTAAGAAGAGATCCCCAGTGAGATCTGCACACCAGGCCTGAAGGGTAAAAGAGTCCAGATTGGTATGTGCTAGATGATTCTGGGAGAGATTTCTGTAAGAAAACAAAAGCCATAGAATATCTGCACATCTTGAGAGGAGAATTAGACAACAGGAGAATTTGGGGTTGACGTGATGGCAAACCTATAGAAAACTAAGGAAAAAGGAAAAGAAAAGCAGAAGTACAGAAAAAGACATTTGTTCCAATTAAACAAAGTTATGTAAGAAGCAAAAGTAATCATAGTTAACTACTTGACTCAGCAGAGAGTATCATTTGCATAGTTATAGTAATATAATTATTGAACAATGATCTAACCAAGGAGTAATTTAACTAAATTGGGAGCTAGATGTTGGAAATAGTGGATTTCTATAGTGGGGTAAATTGTCTAATTTGTACAGAGAAAATTCATGCTATAATGTTGAAAAATAAAAAATCAAAACCAATCGTATTATTGAGAGATAAATAGAAAGAAAATCAGCCAGAAAGTTTGAAAAGTGATGACTCCAAGAGAGGCAATGAAACAGGAGGTAGAAAGTGTTGTTTTCATAGAAGTGCTCCCTTAGAGCTAGTCTATCCTTTAAATCAGATGCATGTGATAAAAGTAAAACTTAAAAAAATTATGTCATTATGGGCCAGATAAACCCGGAGATGCCAGAGAACATCTTTCCTACCACCTATAGAAAGATTGCCTGATAAGGAGCCTCATGTCCAAAGTTAAAGATGAAGAGGGAGAGGGGGAAACCAGGAGAGAAAAGAGAGAGAGAGAGAGAGAGAGAGAGAGAGAGAGACTGAGGGGGGGTAGAGAGAGAGGGAGGGAGAGAGAGAGAGAGAGAGGGAAAGGGAAAAAGAGAGGGAGAGAGAGAAAGATCTGATGATATTGTTAAACTTCTGGATCTGTGCTTGAAACTAATTTCTCTCTTCTGACACCCCATTTATATAAGCCAAACCCCCCTTTTTACAGGAGTAGTCACTTCACAAGGAAGTTTAGGTACCACACTCGAGGATGTGTTTATTTACTAAGTGCTCACTATACACCGTAGAACGCACAATCTTTTTCTGAATCAGTCCAGTAAGCCTTCATCACAATTCTAGGAAGGCGCTGTTACAGTCCCACCCTCAGGTGAAGAGACTGAGTCTCGTGGAGGTTCAATAGCCTGCCCAACATCACACTGTTTGTGAAGGCCTCAGCCAATCCTGTGTGACTTTAGAGGGCACACTTCAAACAGTGTGCCACAGTCCCCTCTCATGGATCTAGAACATCATTCACCTACTCAGCTCTGGAGGAGACAGAGCTTATGACATCAAACCCCCTCTCCTTGACTGACCAGCACACACACACACACACACACACACACACACACACACCCTTGAAGTCTAATCTTCTGTGTCTTGGAAACAAGATGTTAACAAACTCTCTTGGTACCACTTCCCTATCCTATCACTTGGCAATTTTTAGATGTCTTCATTCCCATCCCCAACCCCAGCTCATGGCCTGATCCTTCTTGTAGACATGAAAGTGAATTACCTGGTGGTCTCTTGTTCTCCTACTTTTTCAGGGAAGAGCACCCCTCTCTAATTTTAAGACCCACATTCTGCTTTGTATCCTCAGAGATCCTGCAAGACAACTGTCTGAGACACATTTTACACTCACCTCAATGGCATCATTTGAATGCTTAACCATATACTGCCTTAAGTGGCTTTAAAATGTTTCTCCTCTTTTCCAGTGTTTGCTTTGTCACCTGGGAACTGCTTGTGAGCTAGTATATTGCTGGTGCCTTTTTTGTTTGTTGAAATAGGTCCATATCACTTGGAAACAGCTCAGTATAGGAGATCCGGGGACATTATCAGATCTGAAACCCTGGAGTCCCTCAAGGTCTAATCTCAGTTACAACAGACTCCCAAAGGAGTCTGAAGTCAACATGCTTTCCAGAAGTTCCTTCTTGATAACTCAGGCCTATCCCAACTTCTCTGGGCCTTTCATGTAGAAGCAATTAGACCAGATGCTCTTGGCTAGACATCCATGAAATCCCAAGGAGATCTACAGATGGGCTTCAGAGCCCTTAATTCCTCTAAAATTATATGTTGATAATTGTGCTTCTGTGTATATGGACATTCATCTGGGAAGAGGAAGGAAAGCTTTCATCACATTCTCGATTTCCTGAGATCCATAGCCTATCCTCCTCCTCTACAGATAAGAATTACTGATTTAGACATAAATCTATAACAAGTCCAAATTATCTCACCACAGACAAAGTCAAACAGATGGTGATTCTTCCTCCCTCTGCCATCTACCCTCTTGGCACTCATTTACTCATTTGTTTGGAAGGCTGGAACTGTAAGAGGACAAAGACTTACTAGTGAATGAGGCTGATGGGATATTCCTGATACATGCTTGATATGGTAGATTAAATCTTTGTTCGGACATATTTACTCCCTCCTTTCTCTCCTCTTCATGGACAGAGTGCACTTCCCCATTCCTTGACTTTGCAATTGGCTTAGAAGACATAGTACAACAAAAACGTGAAAAGCACTTGCGAGGCTGAGCTGGTCCTCCTGCACTTCTGTTGTTGCCCTGAGAAGAGCACACCGGTGTTGATCTGAGACCCTCAGAAGAAGATTAGAGATTCGTGTCATAGAGCTGCCTGGACACACCTAGCCTATATCCTCCAGCCAGTGGTCAGCTGCAGACATGTGAAAAAACCTAGCCAAGGTCAGTAGAGGGGTCCAGGACAAG